TTAAGGCTTTGGACAAGCCTTCCCAGGTCTTTGACGTTCATTTGCCTTGTTTGTCAGTCCTGGGTGTTAATATTATGGGGCTGACATCTCAGTAATGTTCCTTTCAATGAAGTTCACAGAGCATTAACAATGATTTTTTAATGTGATCTATTAGCATGTTGGCTTATATTAGGTGAGGTCTACTCAACCCCTATACAAGGACTGCTGCAGCTTTTTGTGTCCTGTACCCCTCTGGCCGTCAGTCTGGTAATACCAATGGACACTCCCTCAGAATCATGGTTTTAAATGCATCAAATAGTATTATAAATGAAACTGATTATAAGGAAATTCAATTATTGAAATTTAAGTAAAACAAAACCAAGTCACCAAGAGACAGATCTTTTTTCACAGAAAGTGTACTTGTGAAATTGTTTTATGTATTTTAGTGTGAGACTTTACATTTATTCCATTTGAATTTCACCTTATCATATTCAGCCCAACCATAGCCCATAGAATATTTTTTGGTTGACTCCATCACCTAGCTATCCTTCCCAAGTTAGTGTTGACTGAAAATCAGATGAACACCCCATATGCACCTTTATTTGAGAAATTGACAAAATGTTAGAGAGCCCAGGGCCAAACACAGATGGAGTAATCCACTGGAGACCTTCTATCTGGAACATTCAAAAGTTCAGTGCTTTAGGAAATCACACAGCTGGCATGGGTCAGGGATGGGACGTGAACCCAGTTCTTTATGATGCTGATGCTGATACTGTCCCTATGGAATATCCCACGCTGCCTCCCAGGTGAGATTAATGTAGCCCTTGTACATTTGTAGAGAACTTTGCATACATTATCCTAGTGGGTCCTCAGCACACTCTTTTGTTATAGCTGCTCCATATATGGAAACTAAATTTCAGAAATGGTTCAGTGACTTGTTCCTGATAGGAGTCAAAGGCAGTATCTGAACCCAGTCTTTAGCCCTTATACCATCTCACCCATCACCTCACCTTTTTTCTTTTTGAAGTCTAAACATCACTGGCTCCTGAAAATAGTCAGCATATGCCATCAACTTGAGGTCCTTCACTTTCTGAGGTCCTTGAAGCAGAAGACCAGTGTTCTTGGGTCCTACCAGCTACAATGACTACATATAAGAGTGTGGTGACAGACTCTCGAGGTATCTGTGACATGAAGACAGGCCTTACTAAGTTCAGAGAAGCTTATGACCATGCTGGCAACAGCATTGATTGATTTTTCCTCTAGTCTCTCTCAAGGACAACCTATAGAGTTTTGAAAGAGTTTGATGGCTGTCAGTGGGGGAAAGACTCAATCAATCAAGCAAGCAATTAAAAAGCATTTCATAAGTACCTGCTATGTGCCAGGTACTATTCTAGGTGCTGGAGATTAAAAAAAAATGCCCCTACCCTCTGGGAGCTTATGTTCTACCCATTCCAGTGAACCTGCTAATGGTTTAAGTGTTGACCTTGAATTCTTTTCTATGTATTAAACTCTGAATTGTTCTTTGTCATATATTCCCAGCCCAACATGCTGTCTTGAATATAGCAACCACTTCAGAACCCTCTTTCCCTGAATCTTTTAGAATTCTCAATTTCCTTCAAAGCTCAGCTTCAGGGGGCCATCTCCTGTAGGAAGCCTTCCAGATCCCTCCCAGGTGCTAGTGTCCCCTGAAATCACTTAGAATTTCTTTTGTGTGGATTCAGTATTTACTTATATATGCACAGGTCATTTCGTTCCAATGTCAGTTCTTCAAAAGGATGAACTGTTTGCTGTTTTTGACTCGCTCTCTAGTTCCTAGCACAGAGCTGGGGATATAGTTGGATGATTCATTGTCTGTTGGGGTGAGTAGAACTGAATTCAGGCGAATTGTATTAGACTGAATTGAGTGGGCTCCACTGGAATTGATGTTTCACAGGGAGGGGGGAGCCAAGATGGCGGAGTGAAAGCAGCAACTTGCTTGAGCCCTTCTGCAACCCCTCCAAATACCTATAAAAACGGCTCTAAACAAATTCTAAGGCAGCTTAACCCACAAAAAGACCAAGTGAAACAAATTTTCAACCCAAGACAACCTGGATGATTGATCAGAAAGGTATATCTTGCTGGGCTGGGAGCACAGTGCAGCACAGCTTGGGCACGGAGACCACAGCAAACCTGGAGCAGGTCTCAGAGGACTGAACTGTGGGCAGCTGTGGTGGTTTCCAGACTCCTTAATCCACGAATGCCAAAGAAAACTTAGAAGGTCAGTAGGAAAAGTCTGTTTCTACGATGCTGAGAGAGGAAGGCAGGGTCTCAGCTCCATTCCCAAAGAGCATGGCCCTAGGGTGGGCAGCTGCTTCCTGAGCTTCCGGCCCACAGACTGAGGAAAATTGACTGGATGGTTAGAAGGGGATTGCAGGGATCTCTCTGCTGGTGCTGAGGCAGGAGTCTCTTGCTTTGCCAGTGCTTGTATCTGGGTCACAGTTCTGAACGGGTGTCCTGGGGCGAGAAGGAGCACTGGCATGGAGGAGCTTGTAGTGGCTGTGGACAGGAAACCTTCCTCACAGTTCCAGGGCAGAAAGGAGTACTTGTGGTCACAGCACAGGCCAGGAAAGGAGTAAACACCTCACCCCTTAACATAACACCTTTCAAGGCCTGAAAATTTATGGGTCCCTACAAGTATCTCTGAAAACAGCTATATAAGCCCCCAAAACTTGGGACAGTACATTCTCCACGTTGGAAGCAGACTCTTACCTTAACAAAGAGTTTACAACTCAAGTAATTGGCTGGGATCATGAGGAAGCAGCGCAAAAAGAGTCAGACTATATTATCTTATTTGGTGACAAAGAAGATCAAAATATACAACCAGAAGAAGACAACAAAGTCAAAGCTCCTACATCCAAAGCCTCCAAGAAAAATATGAATCAGTCCCAGGCCTTGGAAGAGCTCAAAAGGGATCTTGAGAAGCAAGTAAGGGAAGTACAGGAAAAACTGGGAAGAGAAATGAGAGTGATGCAAGAAAATCATGAAAAACAAGTCAACAGTTTGCTAAAGGAGACCCAAAAAAATACTGAAGAAAATAACAACTTAAAAAATAGCCTAACCCAAATGGCAAAAGAGGTCCAAAAAGCCAATGAGGAGAAAAATGCCCTAACAAGAAAAATTGGCCAAATGGAAAAGGAAGTCCAAAAGATTACTGAAGTAAATACTTCCTTAAAAATTAGAATAGAGCAATTGGAGGCTAGTGACTTTATGAGAAATCAAGACACTGTAAAACAAATCCAAAAGAATGAAAAAATAGAAAAGAATATGAAATATCTCATTGGAAAAACAACTGACCTGGAAAATAGATCCAGGAGAGAGAAGTTAAAAATTATTGGACTATCTGAAAGCCATGATCAGAAAAAGAGCCTAGACATCATCTTTCAAGAAATTGTCAAGGAAAACTGCCCTGATATAGTGGAACCAGAAGGAAAAATAGAAATTGAAAGAATCCACAGATCTCCTCCTGGAAGAGATCCCCAAAGGAAAACTCCTAGGAATATTATAGCGAAATTCCAGAGTTCCCAGGTCAAGGAGAAAATATTACAAGCTGCCAGAAGGAAACAATTCAAGTACTATGGAAACACATTCAGGATAACACAAGATTTAGCAGCTTCTACATTAAAGGACTGCAGGGCATGGAATATAATATTCTGGGGGGCAAGGGAGATAGGATTACAACCAAGAATCACCTACCCAGCAAAACTGAGTATAATACTTCAGGGGAAAAAATGGTCATTCAGTGACATAGAGGACTTTCAAGGATTCTTGATGAAAAGACCAGACCTGAATAGAAAGTTTGACTTTCAAATACAAGACTCAGGTGGAACATGAAGAGGTAAACAGGAAAGAGAAACCATAAGAGACTTATTAAGATTGAACTATTTACATTCCTGCATGGAAAGATGATATTTATAATTCATGAGACCTTTGTCAGTAGTAGGGTAGTTGGGGGAAATATTATATGTAGGTATAGGTAGATAGATAGATAGATAGATAGATAGATAGATAGATAGATAGAGGGCACAGGGTGAGTTGAAGATTAAGGGGGTCATATCTGGAGAATAAAATTAAGGGATGAGAGAGGATTTTACTCAGAGAAGAAGAAAGGGAGAGGTAGAATGGGGTAAATTATCTCACAAAAAAAACAGAAAAGAAAATGCTCTTACTGTGGAGGGGAAATGGGGGAAGGTGAGAAGGAATGAGTGAATCTTATTCTCATAGGATTTGGCTTAAGGAGGGAATAACATACAAATTAAATTGGGCAAGGAAATCTCTTACCCTATGGGAAAATAGGGGGAGAAGGGGGCAAGAGTGCAGGGGGATGATAAAGAGGAGGGCAGATTAAGAAAGTGAGTAATCAGAAGCAAATACTTCTGAAGAAGGACAGGGTCAAAAGAAAGAATAGAATAAATGGGGGGGCCAGGATGGGATTAAGGGAAATACAGTTAGTTTTTCCACAACATGTCTACTATGGAAGTGTTTTGCATAACTGCACATGTACAACCTATATTGAGTTGCTTGCCTTTTCAATGAGGGTGGGTGGGGAGGGAGGAAGGGAGAAGATTTGAAACCTAAAGTTTTAACAACATATGTTTAAAAAAAAGGTTTTCACATGCTACTGGGAAATAAGAAATGCAGGAAATGGGGTACAGAAGTCTGTCCTGCCCTACAGGAAAATAGAAGGGGAAGAGGATAAGAGAAGGGGGGAAGAGATAGAAGAGATGGCAGACTAGGGGAAGGGATATTGAGAATGCATGCCATCTTTGGGTGGGGGGAAAGGTGAGATGGGGTGAAAATGTGGAAATCAAAATCTTGTGGAAGTAAATATTGAAAACTGAAAATAAGTAAATTTATAGAAAAATTTAAAAAAAGGAATTGATGTTTCACATTGCTAGAATATTATCTGATAAGAGTATAGGAAAAAATAGCCTAAAAGACAATAAAAATTCACAACTCAGACTACATCTTTTTCAGTTTACCAGGAAATATGGAAATGTTTTCCGCATGAGTGTGAGAAATCATACCTTTATAATGGTGACTGGATTGCCACTGATCAAGGAGGTCCTGGTCAACCAAGACCATGTGTTTATTGATCGCCCCCATTCTCCTATCATCGACCATATTTTTTAAATCACTTGGTGAGTTCTTTGAATGATATTTTTTATCTCCAAGATGCTTTGAAAAATATCTTTAACTCCTTTCCTTCATCATTCCTGAAGGATTCCAACCAATTATAGAAGTTTTGTGGCTAGAAGATACAAGATAGAAAAAAAAATAGGCCTTTGGAGTTCCCTTCCTTCATGTCTGAGAGTGGGAGGAGAATAATAGGATTGGTGGGGAAGGCAATGAGGATGGTGAAGGGATTCAAATCCATCCCTTAGGAGGATCAGTTGAAGGAGCTTGGAATATTTAACTTAAGAACAAGAAGACTCAGTTGGGGGGTAAAGAGAGGCATGATGACTATCTTCAAGTATTTGAATGCCTGTCAGTAGAGAAGATATTAATTTGTTCTTCTTCACCCCAGAATGAGCAGCAAAGTTTAAGAGTTGCAAAGGGCTACGACATGGCTATACTAGGAAAAACTGCTAACAATCAGAGCTGTCCAAAAATGAAATGTTTTTCCTTCAGAGATGGTAGATTCCCCTCACTGGAGGTCTTCAAGAAAAGCTGTTCAGTATATTTTGTTGGTGTTGTTTGCTGGGTACAAGTTAGACTGGATGACCTTTGAGATCCCTTCCAACTCTGAAGCTGTAAGGGTTATGATTCTGCCTTTGACCCACATGATGGTGCAGGTGCCAGCAGAGCCACCTGCATCTGGAGGAATTCAGTAAAATCAAAGTCCCAGGTCAAGGTTTCTGCATTTTGTTTTGTTTTCCTTTAATTTTTAAAAATTTGTTCTATTTTTGATTTATGGAATAACAGAAGCATTTCTTTAACACATTACAATAAAATGATTATGTATAAAACTGAAAATCTACTATGCACAACTTAATATTCCTTTCAAATATACAACAAAATTTTCATGTAAATGTATTTTCCATTTTTTTCTCTTCCCTTCACTCTCCTCCCTAGAGATGGCTACTGTTAGACACAAATAGGCATGTGTGTAGGTATATATAAATACATATATATCTATATAATATATATATATATATATATATGTGTGTGTGTGTGTGTGTATGTATGTGTGCATATACACACATGTATGTATACACACTTTTGTATATATATGTATAAATACACACACATGTATGTGTGTGTGTATATATATATATATATATATATATATATATATATATATACTTATTCCATACATACTTCTGTTTATGATGTCTTTCTCTAGATATTGATAGTGTTTTTCTTCACATGTCCTTGCAGGTTAATTTGGGTATCTATAACGGACAAAATAACCTATTCACTCAAAGACTTGTCTAAACAATATTGCTGATACAGTACACAACGTTCTCTGGGTTTCTGCTCATTTCAGTCTTCAATATTTCATGCACACCTTTGCATGTTTTTTCTAAGATAATTGAGGTCATCATTTCTTGTATAAGAATAGTATTCCTTCATAAACAAGTACCGCAACTTGCTCAGTCAATTGATGGACATCCTCATGATCTCCATTTCTTTGCCACTACAAAGAGATTTGCTATAAAGATTTTTGAACATATCAGTTCTCTTTCCTTTTCTCTAATCATCTTTGGCAGTAGACCTACTAGTGGTATTGCCAAGTTAAAAGCTTTAGGTAGTTTAGTAACACTGTGAATGTAATTCTAGATGGCTCTCCAAAATGGTTGGACCAGTTCACAATTCCACCAACAATGAATTAGTTTTCCAATTTTTCCACATCCTCTCCAGCACCTGTAACTCTCCTCTTCAATCATTTTAGTCAAAATGGTTGGTGTAAAATGATATCTCAAAATTGTTTTAATCTGCATTTCCCTAATAAATAATATTTTAGAGCATTTTTTATATGACTATAACTTGCTTTGATTTCCTCATTGAACAACCACCTGTTCACATTCTTTGCCTGTTCATCAGTTGGGGAATGACTCATATTCTTTTCGATTTCATAAAGTTATTTTTATATTTTAGATATGAGACCTTTATCTGGTAAACTATCTAAAAATCTCCCCCAACTTTCTACTTTCCTTCTAATCTTGGCTACAATTGTTTTACTTGTGCTAAACGTTTTTTAATTTAATGTAATTGAAATTATTCATTTTCACTTACCTTTCTCTCTATACTTTGTTTATTCATAAATTGTTCACCCATCCATAAGTTTGATAAGAAATATGTTCCATGGCCTTCTAATTTCCTTGTAAAATTTTTCTTCATATCTAGGTCATGTATCAGTTTTGACCTATGGTGTGAGATATTGGTCCATTACCAGTTTCTGCCATATTGATTTCCAGTTTTCCCAATGATTTTTTATCAAATAATGAAATCTTATCCCAAAATCTTTAGTCTTTTCACTTGTCAAATACAAGATTATTACGTTTGTCTACAGCTGTAAATTGTAGGTCTACTCTGTTTCACTGATCTATTGCTTACCCAATGCAAGATAATGTAAGTAATTACTGTCTTATAATACAATTTAAAGTCTGGGACTGCTGAATATCCTTACTTTATACACTTTTCATCATTTCCTTGGATATTCTTAATTTTTTTGTTTTTTTAATGAATTTTATCATCTCTTTCTTATTCAGTAAAATATTTTGCGGTAATTTGATGGGGGATGATGTTTAATGTATGAAATATTTCCGGTAATATTTTCATTTTTATTATATTGGCCCAGTATATTGTTAAACTAACATATCACCACTTATTTAAATCTGAATTTATTTGTATTGAAGGATTTTTTCATCATTTTTAAAAGAAAATTCCTGATTATTTTTGGTAGGCGGACTCCCAGGTATTTTGTTTTGTCTAGAGTTATTTTAAATAGGATATTTTTTACTATTTCTTCTTGTAGAAGATCACTTGCTTGTGATATATAGGAATGCTGATGATTTATGTGGAGTTATTTCAGATCTTGCTACTTTGCCAAAATCATGAATTTTTTCACTGAACTTTTTAGTCTAGTCTTTGGGGTTTTCCAAGCACATCATGATGGCATTTGCAAAAAGAGATAGTGTTATTACCTCACTCCCTTTTCTGATTCCTTCAATTTCCTTTTCTTCTCTTGTTACTGCTAGGATTTCAATATGATACCAAATAATGTTGGTAACAGTAGAGATCCTTGTTTCATACCTGATTTTACCAGAAAGGCTGCTAGTTTATCCCAGTTACAAATAATGCTTGCTGATGGTTTTAGATAAATGCATTTTTCTTTTATCAATTTAAGGAAAATCCATTTATCATCAGTACATTTGAGTATTTTAATAGAAATGTGTTGTACTTTTTCAAGAGCTTTTTCTGCATCTATTGATATAATCATATGATTTTAAAAAACTTTTTTATTGATATAATCACTTATGTTAATAGTTTTCCTTATAATAGTTTTAATTCCATCTTCTTTAGTGGTATATTCACCCATTTAATACAAGTGATTTGGTTTTCTTCTCTCTCAATCATATTAATAAATTTTTATCTATTTTATTTGTTTTTTCATAAAACAAACTCCTTGTTTTATTTATTAATTGAAAGTATTTTTAAAAAATCATTGTTTTATGCTTAATAGTATTTTTCCAATTGCGTGTAAAGATAGTTTTTAACATTCATTTTTGCAAGATATTGGATTTCAATTTTTTTTCCCCTTCCTCCTTTCCTTCTCCCCCTTCTGAAGACAGTAAGCAATCTGGTGTAAGTTATACATGTACAATCATGTTAAGCAAATTTCCATGTTAGTCGTGTCCTCAAAGAAGAATCAGAACATAAAGGAAAAACCACAAAGAAGAAAAAAAGAAAAAAAAGTGAAACAGTTCCAGTTTTCCACATCCTACATCCACATCCACAGTATGTCAATTTTCTCACATCTTCTCCAGCATTTATTGTTTTCCTTTTCTATCATATTAGACAATCTGATAAGTATGAAGTGATACCTCAGAGTTGTTTCAATATGCCTTACCTAATCAATAGTGATTTAGAGCATTTTTTCATATGACTATAGAGAGATATAATTTCTTCCTCTGCAAACTGCCTGCTTACATCCTTTGACTATTTATCAATTGGATAATGGGCTTGACTTTTTTTTTTTACAAATTTGTCTAAGTTCTCTATGTATTTTAGAAATGAGGCCTTTATTAGAAACATTGTTTTTTCTTCTAATTTTGATTACATGGGTTTTGTTTCTGCCAAACCTTTTTAATTTAATGTAATTTAAATTATCCATTCTGCTTTTCATAATGTTATCTTTTGTTTGGTCATAAATTATTCCCTTCCTCACAGGTGAACTATTCCTTGCTCTCCTAATTTGCTTATGGTATCATTCCTTATGTCTAAATCATGCATCAATTTTGACCTTATAATTGTCTACAATGTATGATGTTGGCCTATGTCTAGTTTCTGCCATACTATTTTCCAGTTGTCCCAGCAGTTTCTATCAAATAATGAGTTGTTATCACAGAAGCTGAAGTCTTTTTTTTCAAACAGTAGATTACTGTGGTCATTGACTACTGCGTCTTGTGTACGTAACCAATTCCACTGATCTACCACTCTATTTCTTAGCTAGCACCAACTAGTTTTGATGATTGTTGCTTTATTATATAGTTTTAGATCTGACACAACTAGGCCACCTTCCCTTGCATTTCTTTTCATTAATTCCATTGATATTCTTGAGCTTTTGTTTTTCCAATGATTATTGTTATTTTTTCTAGCTCTATAAAATATTTTTCATAGTTTGGTACAGAACTGAATAAGTAAATTAATGTAGGTAGAATAGTCATTTTTATTACATTAGCTTGGCCTACCCATGAGCAACTGATAATTTTTCAGTTATCCATTTTCACCTAACTATGCTTTCCATGGTTTTTTCATTCATGAATTGTTTGCCTATCCATAACCTTGATGAATAATATGTTCCAAGTTCTTCTAATTTTCTTGTAAAATCTCTCTTTATGTCTAGGTCATTTATTCATTTCAACCTTATCTTGGTATAAGGTGTGATATGTAATATTTTTTTACTCTCAAATTT